CATACGCAGCTCATGCGAACGTCATGTCAGGTCCGCCATGACAGTTCGTGCGACAGAAAATTGTAAACGACATCCGTTCTACTGCAGTGACATTGTAACTAATCTTTTGACCTTTTTTATGGGCCGGAAGAGCTTTAGATTTTTGCAATAAATCTTTATCAGCCTAGGTATTGACAACTTGACACTACAAATAAAGTAGTTAGCTATAGTGCAGAGTACTAACAATCTTCAAATGCAATAATAAAAAAGGGTCTGGTTTCCAATTCCACCCTGAGTATCAAAATAAATTCCACCCTCAAAACTCCAACTATCAGACTAAGAAATAATGATGCTATATTACCTATGCGTGCAATCTATCAGTCTCCTCCAGTCTCAAATTATCTTGGGTATAGTTGAACATATACCTAGTTGGAATGTTGAAAAGATACAACCAAAAGAAAATTTAGAATTTTACCTGAACCTTATTTGGACTATCAGTTTGGTTAGATTTCAACAATATCTTGTTTGCGTTATGATTTGAATACGAGATACAGTTTTTGGTTCATTAAAAATTATGTTTACGAAATGGCCCCATTTATATCGATGTAAATGTTTATGTACTTAGGTGTAAATACATTGCAATATACGAATAAATATAATGCTATCTGTCTATCTAGGAACAAGACATCAAGCTATTATCGATACCGACATTGATAGGAACTTAAGCTGTAATGCTACAAAATTTTTTTGTGCAGAAATATTTAATACCACTCTTTTATTCATAAGCGAAAGCCTCAAATAGCATTGAATACACCAAAATATTACTTAGCTCAACAGACAACAAGTCCATACAAAATTACATAACGAAATATTATAAACAAAGCTTCAATGTAAACAGAAAGGTCACTGACACCTACATAAATACAGGCTGTTGTTAAAACACAAGTATTTTTTGTACATTATCGCATTTTTTAAATGTGATAAACTAGCATTTGCTCGTAAATGCAGAGAAATTTAAGAAATACCAAAATCAATATTTCTTTCAAGTCATACCATGTACCACACAAAATTACGTAAGTTATGCTTCGTGGGATTTTTTAAATGATTTGATGCTCTCATAACCACAGAGCATGTGCTCATAACCTTCCTAATTTTTCCAAAAACATTCGGGATCTACGTACTAAGTTACAGTTTTCTACGACCAGTAATTTCGACTACGCATTGTCTATCAGTCACTAAATTCCCAGAAAAGATTCATTAATACAAAAAGTATATTGTAAATTAATATCACCGGTGAGTTTCCGTTAACAAGTAGATAACACGTTCAGGTCACTCCAATACTTAATGATAAAACTGTAGAGCTATTAATATCCAAATGACTATGTAATATAATCACGCGTTTCAGTTTGTCCATTCAAAAAATGATGAATAAAAATTACGAGTTGCATCATTTATGATTGTGACAACGCGAGACCTATGTTATGACTATTTAGGTGACTATGATTTTACATTCTCAAAGTTCTTCGTCATTGTATGTCACACTTTTTAGTATTTTTTGGTAGTTTATATCTTTTTATGAGGTTATAACAATAGACTTGCCATTTATGATATGGAATTTATCCGTATTTATTTAGTCAGACATGGTTATACTACATATTTATACGAATTTGTAAATAAAAATTACTGAAATATTGTGAAATATGTTAATGTTTTTGGCCTTGATTTTTGGCGGAAATTGTAGAACCCATGACAAAAATCCATCTTAATGTGGCTGTTATTGAAATCGGCAATAAGTCATATATCAGAAACAACCTGTATAACACATTATTGTTGGGCTAACATCTCAATATATTGTCAGACAATTTTATAAGAAAGAAATACTTCCATAATTTCCATCACAGACTAACATTGATATAAAGAAGAGCTGACAGTTTAGCTACCTCACACCATACGGCCTACAGTCTCCTCCGTCTCATGATAAAAACAAAATCATCTGCTTATCACACGACCAACATTCTGAACGAATAGAGATGACTAGAGTAGTCATCTCAATCGCCGTTATAAGTACTAGCTGTCTAAGTCAGCACTTTATTGCTAATAGGTCTCCGTTCAGTGCGTACAGGCTCCCTGTGCTAAGCAATCAAAAATCCCACTAGGGAACATACCAGTACAGAGTCAAAACAGGTAAGTGTCACATTAATTAAAACCTAAAACACACTACCACTCTAAAATTGACTTTATCATTATTTATTTAACGCTCATTTTTTGTTAATACTCAAGCAAGCACCGATCACGCGCTTTCAGATTATTTATTTATGCGCCGCGTGATGGCTGCAGGTTCACAGTTGATCCAGTATCATCTTATTGATATTGATAACTCATTTATGTTCCGTGACACTACTTACCAACCTTTAGTTGTCATTTAGAGTTCGTTAGAGCTCCTTGACCATCTGTTACTTTCATATTTATTATTTTAGAAATAACATGTGTTAATTTAATTTTCGTAATTTTGCCGCAATTTCTATTAAAATAAATAACAAATTTCTAAATAATTAAAACCTCATTTCTGGGTTCATATTTAAAAAAAAGATAAAAGATTAATTCAAAGATGGAATTTCTGTCGCGCAAAGTAAAGTCACACGGACAAATTGACGCACGTCAAGTGAATGGCGCGTTGGATACTTCAGGAAAAATTAAAAAACGGTAAGCATTGGTTAGCATTAGAACATAGAAAAATAATTCTATGTCAGTTTACAAGTAAATGAATTAATATTTAGGAAAAGTAGCGGTAAACAGAACATCTAACTATGAAATCTCGTGAGTATGTAGTTACGTGTGTTTTGTATCAAATATTTTTTTTGTATCAATAACTTTTATCTATCCCATTTACGGAAGAATTAGTGGTTTTCAATACTTCATGATTTGTTTTTTTATTTATTTTAATTTTTTTAGTACTTACCACTTTTGTCCGGACCGCGGACAACTTCCTGACCGTGCACAGTACGAAACTTTTGGATCGTCTCCGTATACTAGAAAAGTAACTTTCTTTTATCAGAATATTTTTATTTGAACACAGTACCTGCAGTGTACAATTAGAATTTGTTGGATTCATATTTTTTTTTGTAATCGCACTAGACTAGAGGATTATACTATAGAGAAAAGACGAATATAAGACTTTATTATTATCTACTGTGAATTGAGACTACAATAATATACAATTCTATTTATTGTGTAAGACATCGTAACGCATGTTTTACGTTACTCACTTAAGAAAAAATATTATTTTATGCGTCCATGCGCCTGTGAGATTCTCGCGAGCAACACGCGAGCGGCGCATTCGGTACTAGTGGATACACCATTAAAAAAACATCGTGTATCCCATTTTCATCTTAAACCATTTAAACTAAAATTTATAATATATTTGAAAAGCATCCTAAAGAAACACTTTCTGAAAGTAATAATTATTATTAGAAGTCATTGAAAAGTTGTGTATTGTTATATTTTACTTAATTATACTTATTAAGCAAAGGAATTTGTTTTCAGATAGTGTTTCGTAATGAGCAGCTGTCCTTGTAACGTGGGCGATCGACGCTGTCCCGCTATTCGTAGGTAGGCCGTAGAGCTTCGTAGCATTATTGTAGCCTCGTAGGCCTCGTAGCAAGCTGCGTAGCCCGCACCTGTGACGTAGACATGCTTTTAAGATAAAATAAAGAACTTAGATTACCCAGTTGAGTAATGAACGTAGTGGACAAGTTTCTAGTACTTGTTAGTATAAAATAATGGTGAAACATCACTGACACAAAATTAGGTTTTGTAGTTCGTACCAAGTACGGTGGCTAGCAGGTCAACCAATCATTTTCTCTCAATATCTCTATTACATCTTCAACTTTATTATTTTTGATATAAAGTCAAAAATGCAATGAATAAATTTGACAGATTTGAGTAGGTTGATCTACTGATCACTGTCTAAAAAAGAAATCGAAACATTTTTTCAGTATTCTGGTAACAACTGTCTCGATGGGTGGGACTAATTTCAAAATTCTGATTACATCGAATATAAAGATGCACCTACCTATTATTCCAATTCATAAAGGCACTATGTACGTAGTCTAAGGATATTTAGATTCTATAGACTATTAGTCATTTAGGGCCGACTTTTTCAACGTCAGATAAATTTAAACTGAGGGATAACTTTTGGATATTTGACAATTCTTCAGTAAAAATGTTAATTTTATTCTACAGTTAAGGATTAACTGATGATCGTTTTGTACAGAATACAAGAAAACCTTGTCAAAAAACTGGTACATATACTTGTAAAATGATCCAACCAAAAGCTAACAAATATTCATAAATAAATAAAATGGTACATTTACCAGTTAAATGCCGCGTCCACCTCGCTCGACTATTATAGTATAAATAAATAATAGGTTACTACTAAGTACCTACTATCTTCACGACTTCTAGGTAAAAATAAAAGTATGTAGGCTCCTGCCTACATACTTTTATTTTTGCAACCACAGTTTCCTGAGATAGTAACAAACGATGTCACTGACCCCAATCACAATTATTTTACGTGTGGTTAATACACGTACTGATAAATGTGTAGGTACGTTGTTATCGTTATTAAAAAAGTACTAGCTTTTTAGCCCTGGCGTTGCCTGCGGTCATAGTAAAAAAAAGTAATTAAAATTAAATTAATAAAAATAAATATCTCCTCAAAAATCATGTAGCAAAACTCGATGCTAAGTGAACGAAATAAATACAAACACACTTTAGCATTTGTATTATTATTAAGGACACCATCAAGATGGCTTCTAAAATTTTTTTATGAAATTTGATAATGGGCTCTATTTTAATATATTATTTTAGTTAAGCGCTACGTATGAAAAGAATGAACAACATTACCTATACCTACATATTCCCACGCTACGGTTCAAGGACCAGCGCCATCTGTTATCAAGCGGAAGAGACCGCACTGCGGTTTAGTACGTTATCGCTGAAACATTTTCCTGCTTTCCCAGGAGCGAGACCGCGATGAGTCCAGCGCCCCCCGCCCAGCGAGACAAAACAAGCGCTACGCATGGCGCCGTCAAGCAGTCGTACGCGACAAGCGTAGGGAAGTGTACGTACGAGATGGAACGCGATCGTATTGGAATATGGGGCTGCGGCGACTCCACGTCCGCCAACAAAATCTCCGGCCTCGACCGCCTCAGGCACCCTGGACTCAACAAGGTATGTGCCCATTTAACTATCTTTTAAAATTTAATGTCCGCGAATTTTCAGTTAGGTCATGGTTGTAACTTGGCGGAAGTGTTCTGTTCTTACGGTTACGGCAAATCATATAATCTGAGTGCATCAGTCTAGTTCTGATTATAGTTAAGGTGTCAATGTCGGTGTCACCTCACATCCGCCGTGCGATTGTCATGCAAATGTTTGTTTTGAACTTTACACCCGGCGTCAAAGTTCACGTGGTCGGGTTATGTCAACAAACTTACGGGAACAAAACATCGTTGCTTACAATGTAATATTTCGGTGGAAATGTTGAAAAAGTACTTCGCTAATTTCAATAAATGAATGTGTGATGAAACTGAGTTGCAAACACGTAGTCATTATGAATAATCGTTGTGATTTGTAAGCATCGAATAAATAGTGTATTCTTAAGCTGCTTACAAACAAATCACACGTTAATAAGACAATTAATAATATTACTTACGTTATAGTTACATAAGGAAGTATGTTATACAATTGATAGATAAGTCCTTGTTTTCATAGTTAGGTAATATAATATAGTACAAGTTGTAATAAGGAAATATTTCGCCATGACATTGGCATATTTCCGGCTCAATATTGCAGATTTGATTATGTGTTATATTCTGTTTACCTTGATATTAATAAACTATTAATGTGAAGAGCACGAGTTGTAACTAAAACACGTACTTTTCCATACATAAGAACATAGGTAACGGTGACTTGAAAACAAAATAAGTACCTTATTTTTATTCATTGTTTTGATGGCAGAGTGAGTCTGTAATCGTGCTGAAATCAAAACCAAACATTACGCATGTGTGCCAACAACACGCCTATGTTTTATTTTTATATCATCAGATGTGCATCATAATTCAGATAAACATTATCTTATCGCCTTAGAAACATATTTGGCAAACATTTCTTTTCAAAACTGAAACATATAATACTCAAAACAAGATTTAAAATTCAATGACGTGATTTTAACGTGTCTGATGATCGCACAAGACTCATTAGTATAAAATCAATTACTTAATTCGATTGTGTTAATGCAAATAAACTCTTATTATCATATGTTAAGTCTCAATACTCAATACACGTTTCGTTTTTACTTTTTACTCACAGAGGGACTCAGGAACAATATAGATCTGCGTTGTACCACGGTCCTTAGCGAATGAGGGTGTGTTAGAGTTGGTTATTCACTTCTATAGAACTTTAGAGCGCCCCAGACACTATTAATGCTCTTTAGCAGGGGTCACTGATTCATCTAAAAGGGTGGCTTTCTCTAAAATGTTTTAAACCCATAGGTGTGCGTTTTACTAGCATTTTCTACTGTGCAAAAAAGTAGCTTATAACAGTTTTCAGAACGATTTTTTTCTTTGGATAATTCATCAAATCCAGTACACTTATTTAGGTGTAAATTGCGTGAAAATACTAGAAAACATAGTCCTTGTTTGAGCAATAATTAATGAAATAATAATAAGTTTTAGTTGTGAATATAATATCGTTATAATGGAATTAATTTTTGAAATACGAAGGGTCTGAAATAATCTGAATAGTTGACGTGGTTTTCAGTGAATCACAAACCAGGTGCTTTGAAAATGGTTGCCATAGTAACCACGTAATAGTTATTGATTGAAATTCTGTTCTAATAATAGGAATAAGTATAGTTGGAGATATTAGAGACTTCATGTATATATATTTTTTGTGACAGGGAAAACCTTTAAAAGATTACTATTATTTAGAAGAAAGACTAAGGATTGTGATGTGATCTTAGCTCATTAAAACCTTCGTGGTGGGAACTATTAGCCTATAAAGGACCAAATAGCCCCCTACATACAAATATCCTTATAGGCTAGACCTAATGCGATAGTGTAGCATACTTGAAATACATAAACAAGTAATACCCATTTACACAATATAATATATAATAACTTCTATTGCTTTAACTATGCATAGCTGCTCGTGTAAATTCACCTAAAAAGCAACATTTTATGTATGTCTCTGTCTACGTCATATATATGATACCCAACTATACTATAGTATTGGTCAGTTATACCTCTAGTCAAGATTTTGGTACAAAACATATAGATATGAATGAGTAATATGTACTTCTGCAATTCTTGTTGAATCTTTACGTGTTCCCAAAACACGACCTTCACAATTTATTAGAGCCTATGTGTGGAAATATACAATAGTAAACTAGTTTTTTTTAACTATGTATATTGCAAGTCATACATGACTATTGAAAAGGTGATAAAATGTTGCTAATTTATAACTCTAACATGTTTACCGTGACTGTTTTATTTCATGTTCAAATAATATGTACCTAAGCGCCATGATTATAAGAGCTAAAATATTTCCGGAATGGTGGCTAAGATGTTCATTACTCTTGTTTTTACTAGGTACGGTCCTACTATAATATTTTATTTAAAAATGTTTCCACCCACTAGGATTATGTCCTGTGTTGTGGTTGCAATTACAAAAGCATAATTTCATATACTCATTATCATGTTCAGAGCCAGACAACACTTTTACACAAAGAATTGTTCCGTGGAATCGATCCTCGACACAATGCACAGTATAATATTAAAATCGCTCTAAACATGGTATTAGTATGACTTTTATAAACACTTGAATTACATTCTAGAATACGAGCTGGGCACTATTGACTACAAGACCAATCGATTAAGTACTTTAATCCACTATAAGGAGACCTGTGGCTGTACCTACTTATCCTAAATATATATCACACAGATCTCCGATCTAGACTTGCGGTTCTAGGAAATATCCTAGAACTGTACTCTATTTCATTGCTGTTACTATGAAGAATTCTATTTAATATTGAAATATATATATATCTAATTGCATAAAAAAGTATGTTAATTAAATTACATGCTGAGCATTCTAATGTTGAATCTGAATTCTGAATACTATTTAAATACGACTCGTGTACGTTACAATTAAAATTTCTAATTAATACTAAATTTCTCTGGTAATTAAGGTTAGTTTCTAAATGCAGTAATAAGTCTAGATTTTAGAGTCATTTTGAATTACATTTCGTCGTAAGAATTAATTTTTATTTGAGTTATTTATGTCGAAATATTTAAACGCCGCTCAATTTTAAATCGTGCTTAAGAATAGTTGAGTCACTACATTTTTTTTTGTAAAATGACAAAGTTCGCTCGTTTTTCAAAGTCATATTCATTTATTTGCGTACTATAAATATGAGTACTATTATATTTAAGTACAAGTTAAAATTGAGTAATCTTTCAGTATTCGGGCGTCAGTTGTTTCTTGAATCAATTAAAAATGACGGCTTACGCACGTGAACTATTTGAACAATCTCTACTAATTTCAAAGTCACAGCGGAACGTGAGAAATATTACAAAAAACTGTTTTGAGAGCTATTCAGTAATAATTAAAAAGAAATATTACAAACATGATAAAACGCTAACATAAATTGCACATAACATTAATAATTCGTTACGTCACAATTACAAACCAAATTCAAAATTATCTTCAAGTAATTCTCTCTAAATTATTACGTAAACTTAAACACAAAATGAGAGGTTAATCGTCGTCTATGAAGTTTAAGCTAACGGAAACTTAACCCACAATTAATAGTTAACTATAATCCCTTGTAACAAGCGAAGGTTTGTTCTTAATCTGTATAACTTAACCTTTAGTCTATTAAGTTTATAAAGTAAGTTAAAAAGTTAAGTAAATTATGCCTCTGATGATTCAGGTGTGCTTAGGCTATGGGTACCAATTTACCAGGGTAGGGAGTCGCTGGATACAGGTCGCTTCCAATCGGCCTATCTGCAAGTCATTAGGGATAAGCCTATGTAAAAGTGGACATCCTATGACTGACATGATGATGATGATGATGAACCGATTTACTATTAAGGGTATCGTAATCTTAGTTGCTACGGATAGCAGTTTCAAGAAATTAACTCTCTATTATATTAGACTCAAAACGTAGTTTTGAAAAATCAATGTTAAGTAATTGTTACATTTCACGTGTTCATCTCTGTCTACCCCTTTGGATAATAAGAGACATACTACAATGTATGCTATATGGATAATATATTATTCCGCAGTTCATGGCAACAATAACTATATAGAATAGACTAACGACTAAAATATTGATTCTTTGCTTGCTTACCTAACCAGAGACGATGCCAAGTCTCGTATAATATAACATATCTGTAAAACGTCTGAAATTATTTTTTCTCTCATAAAATGCTGAACATATTAAATTGCCGTTTACTGTTAATATAGACTATCATAATTTTCATTAAACTACGTTTAAAAAATCACCTTTTTTACGTTTTTCTAAACACTGCATTAAAATCGGATCAGACTCAGAACCTCTTTCTTTTTTAGAATTGATTAATTTATTACATTTAATCTCTATTTCTTGACGAAAAGCTTGTGCATAATGCAAGCACGCTTGTAGAATATAACTCAGACTTACCAACCCTATAAATTGTTTGCTAGGTAAATACTTAGCTAGTTCCACTTTACTGAAGAACGAGGAATGTATAGTACAATAGGAGCTTAAACGATTTTCTTTGAAGATTTTCTTGAGTAAATGTTTTTCCGTAGACTTTAGAGAGGGACTTTAGAGCTTGCTTTATGAGTCACAATGGACTCAGACAAATATAAAACGGAAGTTCTTGTTGAATCTTCCAAGAGTCTTTATATTACAGAATTTAATAGTGGAATATAAAAGATTTATGTACCTCAAGTAGTCTTTGTCGTGTGGTTGAAATCGGATCACATAAACTAAATTCCTCTTGTCTATTATTTTGAAATAAGGTCCTTAGACTCTAAGCTCGGTTTAAATCTGAGTGTTTAATTTCATGAAATATAAACTTTCGTAACTTGGTTTTGTGAGGTGTATTCAGGCTGTAAAATATTTATTGTCTTTTTCTGTCTCCAGTCTTCAACTGCACTATCCACTATTAGGTCATCGTTTCTAA